TTGCAATGAGTACGACGACTATTACTAACTACTACGGTATTGCAGCACGATTGCTACAGTCAACCTTATAGTATTAGCGTTATTACAGTATTCGGGGTACCCGTGCGACCGCTGGAGTAACGCAGCGCTATTTCTCGCTGCAGCGCTTCAGGTATGACTGCCACGCTGCGGATCGCATTGCTTTTAAAGCTGTACCAGTACGGCTGCGCAGTACAAGGGTCTATCTAGAGCGCGGCAGCACCAAAATATTATTGTCCAGCATTTTCAGCCAGTTCTAGACCGCAACCTTTGCATTACTGTCACAGTGCAGCTGGCTGTATAGAGCCCAGTCGGTATTTTTTCGCTGCAGCGCTACAGTGCCACTCCTGCAGCCATTACTATTATACTACGCTCGCTCTGCTCGAGCATTATTGCTGGTACTACTACAGCCCAACCTCAGAACTACAGCAGTGCGAATACAGCCAACACTAACGTTCTACTAATACTGCAGCGTCCGGGTTATCTTTGACTACATCATTGCAGCAGCACTGCTACGTCAGCGCCATGGTGCGACCACATTTGCATTGCTGCAGCAGTTGGACCGCGCTAGACTCCGCGTGCACGGGTTGGGCATTGCAACCTCAGGAGGTCAAGCTGATTATTTCTACAGCCGCCATTCCAGTATTACTACCACTGCGCGCGAGTATTCGCACGACTGAAGCGCGACTGCAATGCTATTTCCACGCCTACAACCTTAGCGCGCCATTGCTGCAGTATTAGTGTTACATCGGTACATTAATAGGGTACGGCTACCGCGTCTGAGCGCTACATTATCAGTCGTGCACCATTACAGTCACTGTAAAATGTCGCGTGCCATTCCGCTGCTAAAGTACCGCGACTGCAGTGCTTTAGCGACAGTGCCCGAGTACTCAATTTCAGTACCACCGTTCCAGTACGAGAATACGACAGTAAGGTTTACAATATTGGGGTACTGCAGCATTAGAATATTATCATTGCAATGCTGCCTCATTATTATTTCAGATCGTTTTCAGGTACCAGTCCTGCGAACATTGCCCTAGAGCACTACTTCTACAGTGCCGCTACCACGGCAGTAGAGCATGGCTTTGATAGTACCACTACTACATCACTACAGTTTAGTGTACAACTACAACATTCGAGTCCTGCGCTGTTATATTTGTATTAGTCGTATCACGATCACTATCAGTAACATGTCATCGCTACTTTACTGGTTACTACCAAGACGACTGCTACTAAACTTACCACAGTTACCACTACTACTACTACTACTACTACTACTACTACTACTACTACTACTACTACTACTACTACTACGACTACCTCTACGACTACTATTATTACTACTACTATTACTACTACTATTCGTATTACTAATACTACAGCCAGTTCCCGACGATCAGCATTATTATAACGTTGGAGTACGATAGCGGCCTTAGCATTATACAGCATTGGTACCACACTATTACAGTGCTACTTCGATAGTGTTACCACAACCGTACCACCGTATCAAAGTTTTACAACAGCACCAGAGTAGTACAGGCCTCGAACACGACTATCATTACAGTACAATCTCGCATTGTTACACTCCGTTGCATTACGTGGCCTTGGTCGCGCTATTGGGATTGCCCTTTTGACGAGCAGCGGAATTCTAGTTTCCTTCGCCGCGAAAAAGATTATCCGAACATTGCGAGAACACTGCTGCCACCCTACAGTCGTATGATCATTGCTCTGGAGTAGGATTACAGCAACGCTACCACAGTGCTACAGTACCGGGGCACTGCTGCAGTCCACGGGCGAACGAAACAATGAGGGGAACACAAATGGGGGGCCTGGGTTAGGCGCAATAGTTCATGCAATACTTGGCGCTTGGATGCAATGGTTTGTGGCGTGGATGCAATAGTTCCGCGCTGGTGTTGCTTCGTATTGTTTCGTGCGCAATAGTTCAGGCGGTTTGCAATAGTTCGCGCCCCCTCGCAATAGTTCGCGAGCAATATTTCAGGCAAACAAACTATTGCACCTACTGCCGTCCCCCCTTTTGTGTTCCCCCCATTGCTCCAGCGTAAAAAGAGCTTTACGACCACGACTACTACTGCACTGCCACTGCTACTACTACTGCAGACCTACTGCAGCATGACAGTACCATTATACAGCCAGCCATGGGTTATTATTGTACCGACGCAATTGCAATTGCATAAATGTGTTTGAGTGTTAGGTTAGCCACAGCACCAGATCAGCATTCGTATATTCACGACTGTTACGACACTGCTAATAGCACGTGCTGGTATTAGGAATGGCCCCGGGGCCAGCGCTCGCGGTGGCCGACTGGTTGCATGGGGGGTGACAAGAATAATGATATAATGCGTTGTTATTGATTTTATCTTCGTTCCCCGGCACCACTAGTGGACTGGGAGTTCAGCCGTTCGAAGACTTCAGAGAGACTTCGGGCGCCCAGGTCCCAATCCCCAGGCCGAGAGCACGAGAGTGCGAGAGTGATAAGGAAAGAAAGAGAGAGAGAGAGAGAGAGAGAGAGAGAGAGATGAAAACAAAGAGAGGGAGAGAGAGGGAGAAAGTGAGAGAGAAGTCAGAGAGGGAGCGGAGCGCGACGCGGGCAGAGGGGCTGAAGGATAGAAAAGGGTGAGTTTCGCAGGGGTGCGATTCGACCCTGAAATCTGCCAGTCCCTTTTGTCGTTCCCCCTCACATGGAGAGAAACGAGATAGGGTCAGTGGTCAGCCACAACCGTTAAGGGAGGCATTTGGGAGAGGACTTTTTTTGCACGACGAAGCAGCTGAGACTGGCCGCCCCGTGGGCCCCTGGGCGGGGAGAGGGCGGGGTGGGGGGTCACAATGAGGAGCAGGGGTTCCCGGGGGGGTTTCCGAAAACGACGCCGAGGCGAATATTTAGATCCGAGGGAAGAGCTCTGGGATCCAGGACTTGTTTCCCTCAGGGCCCGCCTCCTTCATTCGGCGGCGAACGAAGGGGAACTTGACAAGGAGAAGGCCTTCCCAAAAGGCGGTGAGACTTCTCAGAAGCCCTCGCGCCTTGTGAGAAGTTTGTTTTCTCTTCGGGAGTCGGCTTAGAAAACTTCTCAGAAGTCCTGGGGATATCCGAGACTTCTGAGAAGGTACGCCCTTTGTCTTTTCCTCCTTTGGCTCGCCGCCTTTTCATGGTAAAGAGGGGGGGGGGGATATGGAGATGGTCAGTGGGAGGAGGGAAGAGGTCGGGGACGAGGACGAGGACGAGGACGAGGCGGGAGGAGTACGGATGTAGGAGGAGGAGGAGGATCAAGAGAACAGGGAGGAGGGGAGAGAGAAGAGAGAGAGAGAGAGAGAGAGAGTTGCTCTTGCCTCGTGCCATCATACAGGGTCGCGGGACGGCGGGAACGGCCATCATGGCGGCGTTGGTTCCATGCTTCGGAACTTGTTTCCCCGATATGATGATCTGGAGCCCACGCGCCAGATGCATGGAACCCTCATCCATGTTGGTGTGTGCCCGGGAGGGAGGGCTCAAAGGAGAAAAACGTATTGATGCCGCTGGTTGTCTTGGAGAGCCGTCGTCGTTGCTCGTCCTGGAGGCTTTGGCAGCCCGGTAGCAAAAGAGAGTGTCAATAATACGATGTCGTTGGGAGCTCGTCAGCATGTTACTCCTTTGTTTATGTCCAGAGACCCCCTGGGGATTCTTCGACTGTAACACGCTGACGGGCTCCCCACCATTGTGCTACCTCCTGGGAACGGCCATAGACGTGGGGACATGGGAATGGGGGAGGGGGAGGCGACAAGCTAGGTGCGTTCGCGTCATACCTGACGTCCGATCCCTCCCTCCCATCCCTTACGCCGCCCGGCGTAGATCTCTTTGCTATTCCAACGATCGGATGTCGCAGCATGGCATAGCATTACATGGCATAGCATGGTGTTGAAGACTAACGCGTAACATGACAGTACATAGCATGGCTTGGTGACGCCCCAAAGTGGGGGGGGGGCTTATGCGGCCCCAAAAATCAGCGAATCGACACCGAATGTGGAGTCACTTCCGATGGTTTCTTCGGGAGGCCATGTTTTAGATTTTGGGGCCTAGTTGAAAGGACCGAAAAACCATGCCGTGGCATGGCACTGGAAATAATGACGCCAACGCTGCAGCCGGAGAGCGATTCGGAACGAGCGGAAGCGCGGAAATGAGGCCAGCGTTGCAGCGGGAGCACGATTCGGAACCAGCGGTAGCCCGAAAATTGAGGCCAGCGCTCCAGCGAGAGCAGCATTTGGATCAAAAACCCAAGCGCGGAAATGAGGACGCGTAGCCTGACATAGCATGGCGTGGCGACGCCCCAAAGCGGGCGGGGTGCTTCTGCGGCCCAAAAAATCGACGAATCGACACCGAATGCGCAATCAATTCCGATGGTTTTTTCGGGGGGGGGGGCCTTTCTTAGATTTTCGGAAAGAGCAGCATGTTGAAAAACATCCATGCGAAACCCCGTTTCCCAGGAATCCTGTGTAAAAAAACCTGTACGCGGAGGGAGGCCGGCCATTTCCCGGACGCCACCAGGGGAGAGAGGAGAGTAGTATTCAGGTTGTTTAGTTGTAGATGCGAGGGGGCCCATGGGAGGAGACGATGCCGATGCCGCCGCTGCTCGTCCTGGAGGGTCCCTCGTCGCCACGGCTGGAGTCTTTTCGGAATGTCAGAGCGCTCCCCAGAAGAGTCCCAGGAACGGCGTCACCAGTGCGATTTCGGATGAGGTCAGGACGAGGATAAATCCGTTCCAGAGTGTTCCGGAGCGCTCTTACAGCGTTCCCGAACGCTCTGAGAAGGCCGCGGCGCCCGAGACATCTTCCAAAGCCGCCGGATCTCAGAGATTCTCGATTTACCCTCACCCGATTTTACCCTCGTTCTGAATTCGTCTTATCCTTCTGCTCCCCCAAAGGGGCGGGAGAGAGGAGTCGCTCCCCTGTCCCTGCCTCCCCGCCGCCCGTCCTGCGCGTGACCCCCACAGCGGCGAGGCGGACGTGGCGGGGCCCCAGGAGGCGAAGCTCAAGCACATGAAGAAGGCCCTGTGTCGGGGAAGCGTAAGACGCGAGTACGCAGGAACTGGGGCTTGCCGCGAATTCTTGACGAGCGCGTCCTGGATTTTGACGGTCTAATTTTCGTGGGATGTTAGTCGCGGGAACTCGCGTCAAATTTCATGGTGGCCCCGTCTGGATCCCCGACTGTGGGCATGGTCGCCCGCCGATGGCGAGGAGCTTATACTTCCAATTATAGTTCTTTGAAGGCGAGGTTCCTGACCTGTTACAGCGGACAATTGTCGTTGAAGATCGGGGCATGTGGTTCCAGCCAGACTTTGGTTGCAATCCCCTTCAGGAAACATGACAAACTCTTTCGGCCTGGTTGAGAGGGCTGCAGCGGTTGCAAAAACTTCCACGATTTTGATTAAGCAAGACGCCTCGCAACACAGGAGATACATTGATGTGCGGCGTGATGAGGAAGAGGAGGAGGAGGAAGAGGAGAAGGAGGAAGCAAAGGAAGAGGGAGTTTTTTCCCTGGCTCGCCCCACCAGGGATGCCCGCATGGCACCATGGGGGATCAGCAGCATGGAGTCATAGCCGACTGCCCCCGAAAATACGTAAAGCGTGCCCCCCCCCCTTTCCCCCTTTCTAGTTTTTTAATCCCGTGGCGACGGGATTCAATTGTGGAGAGGGCGCGGAGGCCGAACTTGACAATCCCTGGGGGAATTTGCGAATCGAAGTTGTTATCATTTCGTGCTGACTAGCAGCAGCATCAAAAATGCTGAGCATGGCAACGGTGGTCTCACCATTTCAGTTTCCGCAATCACGAGCGTGTGGCAGGGACATGGGGTTCTCACCCTTTCATTTGTCCCACGTCACGAACGTGCGGCACGGCCATGGTATTCTCACTGTTTCAGTCGTTCCCGAGCCGGGAACGTGTGGCAGGGCCATGAGGACCGATTGGACTTTGAAAATACGTGCGTTTTTTGAGCAGGAGCATCCGAACTACTTTCTTCGCGCATCCTTCACACGTTTCGTGGCCCTTCCTCCTCCTCCTCCTCCTCCTCCTCCTCCTCCTCCTCCTCCTCCTCCTCCTCCTCCTCCTCCTCTCTCCTCCTCCTCCTCCTCCCCCTCCTCCTCCTCCTCCGTCCTCGTCCTCCTCCTCCCCCCCCCCCCCTCCCCCAGCAGACAGTGCCCAGGCCCGAGGTTCCCCGAGCCCCCGAGACTCCAAGCTTTCAAGCCCCTTCGAGGCGCCGAGCTGCACCTCCCCCAGGGGCAACGACAATGGGGGATAAGGCATAGTTAATGGGATGCATCGCTCCAATCGCCACCTGATCACAGAGAATGGTTCGAGAACCCGAATTTGCACAGGAACAAGCGGATTCACGATCGGGCGCCAATCGGCGATGTATCGCCGATTCCAGGTCGATGTTCCCCCCCCCAATGTCTATCCCCCCTGCGTCGTTGCCCTTGAGTGCGTCGCGAGCCTCAGCCATGTCCCAGGCCGCCGAGCGCGCCTGGGCGGCGACCCAGCAGGTCACGGCCCTGCAGGGAATCGCGACCCAGAGCGCGAGCCCGAGCTCGAACGAGATCCTCGAGCCCATGGCCAAGCAGAACAGGAGGGTCCTCGACAAGCTGTTCCTTATCGCGGACAAGATCGCGATCGCCGAGATGCGCCAATGCCAATCGAGCGCGCAAGGCACTGGCGCAGCAAGAATGACGGCCTGCTTTTCCTAGGCGGACAACGCCCGGTGGTCGGCGGGCGCCCGGCAAGCCGCCCTCGAGATGGTCCGCGCGGGCGATTCTCTCAAGAGCATCGAGCGCGGACACATCTTCAACGAGAAGGACAAGAGGCGCGTCGAACTTGCGGTGGCGCTGTTCTACAAGACCTACTGCGAGGAAGACGCCCGCCTCTGCGACATCTTCGAGAATCGCGGGGAGCCGCCCGAGGACCTCTTCTGGTTCACGCCGAGCTTCAAGTCGAAGATGCTCGAGCTTGCCAAGGAGCGGGCATCGGCGAGCTCGGCGCCGAGAGCGCCCAGCGCCTCAGCTTCGGCTCCAGCGCCGAGCGCGTCGGCAAGGCCCTCCCCGACATCCCCTCCGAGCTCCTCAACCTCCACGACCTCGTGCTGCCGACCAACGGGGGCCTCTGGCCCGTCGAGAAGATGGGCGAGGAGCTATCCTCTTGCGCGCCAGCCTATCAGCTCTTCGAGATGGCCCCCCGCAAAGCCAAGCAGTTCGTCAAGTGGCGCCGCGCCAGCGGGTCGGCGCAGGGCGCTGACCGCGCGCGAGCCACCGCGCACGCGGTCGTCAAATGGCGCGGGGGCCTCGAGCGCACCGCCGACATGGCCTGCGAGTTCCTGGGGCGGAACTGCCGGGACAAGCGCTCCAAGCAAGACTACGCGAGCGCCGAGAGGCAGCTCAGCTCCGAGACAATGGCTCTCGACCAGCACCTCATGATGAATTTCGAAGAGCTCGCCAAGATCCACGCCGACTACGACACGATGGCCAACCGGCGCGAGCCCGAGGAGAGCCAGGCCGACGCAAAGGCCGAGCCGGGGGCCGACAAGTCGACGCCGAAGGACGCCTGAAAGCCGAGCGGCGGCGAGCGGCGAGCGCTCCGCACACGAGCGCCCCGAGCCAAGCGCCCCCGCGCGATTCGCTGCGAGGGCGCCGCGCGAGCGTCTCGAGGCGCGCGCTCGAGCCCCATCGGCCTCCAAGCTCCAAGCGAGCGCTCGAGCGCGCGCGAGTGGCGTTCCAAGCAGCGGGGCACTACCCCCCCACCTTTCGCCGAGTGATCTTCTATCAATCATCGAGCAATCGGGCAGCCTCGATCCCCCAGCCTCGGATCGAAGATCCGTGATCTTGAGTCCGAGCATCTTCGAGCACTCCTGGGTCCGATCCGAGGGTTCCCAAGCTCCGGCTCGCAGATCTCGGGCTTGCGATCCGAGGGTCGAGGACCGAGCGTCGGCGATCGTCGATCGTCACCGTCGCCGCCCTCGGGCCCAGACTGCCATCAAGGAGGCTCGATCCTCGGAGCGAGGATCCGAGATCTTGCTTCCGAGCAGCTTTGAGCGTCTTGGGTCTTAGATCCGAGGATCGCCGCGCTTGTGCTCGAAGATCTCGGGTTCGATATCCGAGGATCCGGGATCGAGCCTCGGCGATCGTCGATCTCCCTCGTCGCCATCCTCGGGCCCGGGCCGCCATCGAGGAGGCTCGATTCTCGGATCGAGGATCCGAGATCTAGGTTCCAAGTGACTTCGAGCGCCGCGGATCCTAGACCCGAGGGTCGCCGCGCTGGGATTCGAAGATCTCGGGTTCGATGTCCGGGGATCGAGGATCCTGCCTCGGCGATCGTCGATCTCCCTCGTCGCCGTCCTCGGGCCCAGACTGCCATCAAGCAGGCGCGATCCTTCATTCTCGGATCGAGGGTCCGAGATTATGTTCTTGGGCATCTGCGAGCACCTCGGATCCTAGATCCAAGGATCGCCAGGCTTGGGCTCGAGGATCCTGGGCCCTCGATCCGAGGATCGAGGGTCGATCCTCGGCGCCTCGCGGTCACGCGCGCGCGCAGACGCAAGCGCGCACAAACGCACTAAACCACACGCGCGCACGCACGCACTCGCACACACGCACGCACTCACACTCTCACGCGCACACACACACACCACCACCAACAACAACAACAACCAAATCACCAACAACAGCAGCCACGACAGCAACATCAACCAGCAACACAGCAGCAACAGCATGCCACAACAGCAACAAGACAAAACAACAACAGCACACACAAGTGCTGCCACCACTGCACAGGCCGAGCCCACCGCATTGCCGATGCATCGCCGAGGCTCGCCGATGCATCGCCGAGGCGGCGCGAGCTATGTGGTGCAATGGGCGCATGCTCGGCGGTGCAAGCGCTGTCCGGGTCAAGCCCGCTGAGGACGCAACGTTTTTTGTGGCCCATTCAGGACCGAGCATTTCAAACCCCTTCTCCGCTCCGGCAACGAGGGTGGCCGAGTCGGGCAGCGACGATCGCCGGCCTCTCGCTGAGCGGTCGGACGGCGAGAGCGTCGTCTCGCCGATGTTCTTCGTCGAGCTAAGGCGGGGCGACGAGCGGGCGCCAGAGGGCGCGCCGACCGAGAACTTCGAGGAGGTGAAGACCGAGGACGGCGTCGAGCAGCACGAGGAGACGCAACCAACCGCGCTGGGGGAGGACGCCAGCAAGCCCGAGGAGAAGAGCCTCGACGACGGTAAGTTCGAGAGCAAGGAGGTCAAGCTCGAGGTCAGGCTGGAGGACAAGAAGGTCAAGCTGGTGGTCAAGCTGGAGGACAAGGGGGTCAAACTGGAGGACAAGAAGGACTCCTGCACACTCGAGGACTCGAGGACAAGAAGCCCAGAACAACAGCAGCTCGAGGACAACACGCACTTCGAGAAATAGATCTCGGACAAGAAGTTCAAGCCGGATTCCTGCAAGGTCGACCCCGAGAAGATGCGCGGCCGTTTTGGCGAGCCCTCAACGACAAGGCAGCGCGATGCCTTGCACTCGGCGCCGAGCTCTCCATCGACTCCTGCCTCGGCTCCAAGTCCCATCTCATCCTCGAGGCGCCTCGCGAGCCGCTGGGAGGTCTGAGCGGGGCGCTTTCGGGCAGAGCGAGGGCGAGGTGCTTGGGGCCCCCGGCGAGGTGGCCGCCAGCCTCGAGGACGCCAGAGAAACATAACCGACGACAGCAGTAACAAAATCACATGCAAGCAGCACAACACACGCAAGCAGCAGCAACCACAGCACATTCAACGGCAAAAGTAATTAGCAAAACAAAAGCACCATTAATAATAGTAAAAGTAATAGTAAGTATAACAGCAGCACCAGCAATCCGCGCGACATGAAGCCACGACAGCAACGAGACAAGCGACGACAACCAGCGAACCACAAGAAGCTACCAACGACCAGCTAACAACATAATGCTGACTACAAGAAGGCAACAACCCCCAGCGAACAAGGACAGGCCAACGACAGCCACGGGCCTGCAACATCCCGCAGCCACGTT